ACCTGTCTACTTCAATGACGACTGGCGTCGCTAGCACTGGTGGTATGTCGTTGTAGTAACCAAGTGCGTATCCAGCAGTGTGCAAGTCACACAGGAATGTTGAGCGGTCCGAGCCACGGACAGCAACGCTTTCGCGTCGGTCGGCAAGCAAGACCAATGGCGAAGCAGTCTGGCCATGAGCAAATTCTTTGGCTGGCGTGTCTAGGAAAAACATACACTGAAAGAGGCATGGCAGCATGACCACGGAGACGCCAACAGAGCCAAAAGAGAAGGCAACAGAACGAGAGCCGAAGGTGCGTGCGGCATGATAAAATCCGAGTGGCCGGAATCGACCCAGCGACCAATTGATTTCCGAGAATACTGAAACACAGTATAGAACACTACAGTCAATCGCTCTACCAACTGAGCTACACTCGGTCCTAATCCAACAACCACGCAAAAACAAATAAAAACCTTGCGCACGCTCCTACATGCACAACCAACACCTCTACAACATATACCACGCAACCACAACCTGCCCACGCATCCTCACTACCTGCTTCACGCACCATCAAACGCACAAGTGCTCGCAGACGACCAAAATGGACCCATTTCCTATTAGACCTCCCTCGTCGTCTTGTGGGCTCTGCCGACACTTTATACGACCGCAATGCCGTCACTCACACCATAGGCTTCCCGTAACGTCTCTTGGACGGCGGCGGTCGGGGTCCCACGTCTGCCATTGCAAACCGAAAGTAGGGTTGATCTGTCTACTTCAATGACGACTGGCGTCGCTAGCACTGGTGGTATGTCGTTGTAGTAACCAAGTGCGTATCCAGCAGTGTGCAAGTCACACAGGAATGTTGAGCGGTCCGAGCCAGGGACAGCAACGCTTTCGCGTCGGTCGGCAAGCAAGACCAATGGCGAAGCAGTCTGGCCATGAGCACATTCTTTGGCTGGCGTGTCTATGAAAGGCATACACTGAAAGAGGCATGGCAGCATGACCACGGAGACGCCAATAGAGCCAAAAGAGAAGGCAACAGAACAAGAGACGAAGGTGTGTGCGGCATGATAAAATTCGAGTGGCCGGAATTGAACCAGCGACCAATTGATTTCCGAGAATACTGATACACTGTATAGAACACTACAGTCAATCGCTCTACCAACTGAGCTACACTCGGTCCTAATCCAACAACCACGCAAAAACAAATAAAAACCTTGCGCACGCTCCTACATGCACAACCAACACCTCTACAACATATACCACGCAACCACAACCTGCCCACGCATCCTCACTACCTGCTTCACGCACCATCAAACGCACAAGTGCTCGCAGACGACCAAAATGGACCCATTTCTTATTAGACCTCCCTAGTCGTCTTGTGGGCTCTGCCGACACTTTATACGACCGCAATGCCGTCCCTCACACCATAGGCTTTTCGTAACGTCTCTTGGACGACGGCGGTCGGGGTCCAACGTCTGCCATTGCAAACCGAAAGTAGGGTTGATCTGTCCACTTCAATGACGACTGGCGTCGCTAGCACTGGTGGTATGTCGTTGTAGTAACTGTGGTGAAGTGCTTTCTCAGAAATAAGAGAATGGACCTAACAAGGTGTCACTATCCCGAATCAGTGACAATTCCAAGTGATTAGAGAGGATTTGGATCGCCCGGCGCGGACGCAAGTTGCCTGAGGTGGATTAGCCATGACGAGCAGCACCCCGTGTGAGACGACGATGGATCTGGTATGAGTGATGTACGGGAAGGCAAGATCCACCAAGACCTATCTCGGATCCAACCTTACCTCGGTTCACTTAGGTGGATACGGGATATACTATGTACGGGTGGATCGAGAGTGGATCCTATGAAGGAATGATGGTAGGTGTCATCTGAAGGTAGATCTAGTATCCACGACTAACGAGAAGTCAAGATCCACCGCGAGGTGTCCCAGATCCCATACTTCCGAGTCCGGATCCAAAGGGGTGAGGATCCCATACGGAGTGACCTGGATCCAGGATATGGGGACAGTGGATGCAGTGGATCTCGAACTTTTGTGGGACAAGGGGGATCACATACGGTCGCAAGACGATGCTGGAGGATGGGAAAGCTCAGATCCATGACGAGTGTACACTTACAGTGAAGTGGATCAACGCGACCTGGATTCGGATGAGTGTACCCATAATATGGCGGCCATAAGCTCGTACGGCCAATGTAGTTCCGGTTCTTGAGGGCA